AGAAATAGGAAAAATGCACAAAATAAGAATTAGAAAAATAAATAAATAAACTTCTAGACACAATTTTTAGCAATTATTTTAAGAAAATATAAGAGAAAATGTCATAAAAATATGATAAAATAAATAAATATAGGTTGCCATCCTTTTCTAACTTTAACTTTATTATTACGTATAGCTATGAATCTTTTAGCAGAAGAAATGATCTATATTTAAATAAAATAAACTAAATTTCGTAAAATATATATGCAATTCTTACCAATTTATAATAACTATTTTCTTGTAACAAATAAATAAATAAAAAGTAAGAAAAAAAGAAAAAGGAAAGAAGCAATTTAAAGAAATGATATAAATGAGAATAAAGAGACCAAACTAAGGCAAGGATGTAAAAAAAAGTATGATTAATGATGAATGAAATTAAATATTCAATAAAATTTGAAAGTGAAATTTTCAGTCGTTTAAATTAGAAAAAAATATTAAATTTAAAAACAAAAAAAAACTACAAAAATATAGACAAACTTCAGTTAAAAATATATAAAAGATAATAAAACAAACTTTAATTAAAGATATATAAGGAAAAATAAATTAGAAAAACGTTTTAAGGAAAAAAAACAAAAAAATGGAATTAAAATATTGATAGATTTCTCCTTATTCTCCTCCTAATTTAATATGAATTCCATAAATAAATTGAATCTCTCTCTAAATATTTTTTCTTGCTCTTGGACCACTTATTATTCTTTCAATAAGTTTCTCAATCAAAATGATTTTTTTTCTCTCAATATATAAAATTATAGTGCAACATCAAAATTATAGTGCAACATCCTTTCAAAAACTTTTTATATTTTGAAGAAATTTGATTATTACATGATTTTTCTTCTTACATCAGTATCTTCAGAAGTATCATGAGAAATCATCTCTTTCTCTTTTCATGAAGAAATAACATTACATCATCATCAGAAGAAGAGACAAAGTAAAAGAGTTGCGATGTTTTTGTTCATTCTAAGATCTCTTCTCCTCATCTCTAAATTAGCTCTTAGTGTGTGTGTCAATTTTGTTGTTCTTTTTATGTTGCTTGTCATCTTTCTCTTCTTTATGATTGTTGTTGTTGTTTTGGTGCGTTGTTAAATTTTTCTCTCACTGATACATGTATGTATGTTCAATGAAACTTGTTTGATGTTCCTACAAAATTTAAAAAGTAAAGAAGAGAAGGAAAATAAGTAAAACAAAAAAGATGTCTGACCACAAAAATAATATATTGAGAAAAACTAACCAAACCATGAATTTTTCTATTACTCGCGACAAGAATAAACACATAAATAAAAATTGGTGGATACCTTTTACCATATTGTTTGAAATATATTGTGATTAGCTAATCTACTTTATAGATTAGTACCTTTCAAATTAAATTTGAAAAAACTTTTCAAATTCCTTAATTAAGTGATAAGGAATAAACTTTCAAATTAAATTTGAAAAAACTTTTCACTGTAATTAAGTGATAAGGAATGAATCCTCTTAAATTTTATAATTAAGGAAAATGTCTTTTATGGTAAAGAATTGATAACTTAAGTTTTTATGATTATGCTTTAATGAGGAAAAAATTAAATACTAAACTTTAATATTATGTTAAAACTTCAAATAAATATTGTGTTTTTTAAAATGAAAAAAAAAAACTCAAAAAACCAAAAAAAAAGATAAATATGATTCCAGCCCTTAGAGGCATGCCACATCAGCTATTCTATATTCAGCTTTATATATTTATATAGATTTTCTATTTTACTTTTAAAGAAAAAGTGCAAGCATAATATATTAGAAAAGAAAAAAAATTAAAAGAATAAAGTTTATTTCAAATTTTATCTCAAAATTGTTATCTTTATAGGGGTGTGCACTTGTCACGCCCCGAGCCTACACCCTAGGCGTGACTGGCACTCGAGAACCATTGTTGGCCCCAAGCGAACCCTTGACCTGGCTTACTTACTCAGCGGAAGACTATATGCATTTATAATGATCAAACACTATAAATGTACTTTAAAAAAGAATAAACTGAACTGCTCAAACTGAACTCATAATGTTTTTAAAATAAACATTTAACTTAGCTAAAATGACAACTCAACTCTGAACATAAGTCAATAACAAAGTAAAGACAAATGACTAACTAACTGTCTATCTATGAAGCCTCTAATAACTGAGATGGATGTCGGGACAGGCCCACGACATCTTAATGAACTATCTAATACTGAAAGTAAACAAAAAAGATCCTCCGGAATGCAAAGAGGCTCACCAACAGACTCTGGACTGCTCACTGGATCAACGATGCGCTGGATGCCGATCCTAGTTACTTGCGTCTGCATCATAAAACGATCCAGGCCAACTGGCATCAGTACATTGAATGTACGAGTATGCAAGTTGGAATGCTAAACATAACATAGGCTTGAAAGAGATTCTGAAAGAAACACTTACCTTGGCTCTTCTCAATTCATGAATACTTAACTGAACTCATTTCATTACAAAGCAGTTTAAAACAAGTGCAATATAAAGAAAAAGAAAACTATTTAAAACATGATGTCAACTCATAATCATTATATCATAAAAGACATATCATGATCCCTCTCAAAGTCTACTTGTGCAATGCATGAATGAAGTCACATACCCCTCATCCATACTAAGCAGAACCCCTTAAGGAACCATGCAATTACTGTTGTGGGAGTTTCTCTAACCGACAACCATCACTTAAGAACTATAGTAATGATACAACGTTATTAGCCCCACGTTGCCCGGGCCATCCTATACCTTGCCATGGTATAGAACCTGAACTACTAAGTGGATCCACTAATCTATGCGAAAAGGATTCATCTAAAAAGTATGACCCATTTCTACCCATGATGGCTACATGGTTTATGGGGGTTGTGGGTTCTTTAAACGCTCTCTCATATCGGTGTTTAATACTACTCCCAAAATATGATACTAGCTCTTTATGTTTTGAAAACATTCTTCTTTCTGTGATTTGAGATTAGTGCTCAAAAACTTAGCTCAAAGACCATCTTGGAAATCTCAGTTTCCTCTCTTGCTTCATTTAAAAAGCGATTACTCTTTTCTAAAAACTAGCCCGAAGGCTCTTTGGAAATCTCAGTTTCCGTTCTTATTTAAATGTGAAAAAAACATTTTAAATCTCTTTGGGAAATACTTAGTCCCCATATGTTTCTTTGAAGAAAAGAACTTCAACTTTACTCTTTACTGAACTCAAAACTTAAGTCTTAAAACAAAGTTAGAACATTTGTGAAAGACTTTTTGAAAACTTTAAGAACTTATCTTAACTTGACTCTTGACTTCTGTTGACTTTGATCTTTACTGCTCTTGACTTGACTCTTAACTGATCTTGACTTGACTCTTAACTAATCCTTGAATTAAATTATGGATTTATGGATTAAGATTTGTGATTGGAAAGATCTCATGATGTTTAGGAATGACTTTGAATAGCTAAATCTGAGAAAAGTTACGAAATCACCGTCTTGAAACAAGTCCGGGACGTGGAGACGTTTCTGAATAAATGCTTGCGAAATTAATTTTTTGAGACAGAAGAGTCCGCGTCCTAACCGCGACGCGGAGACAATTTTTCTTCACTGGGGGAGCAAGTCCGCGACGCGAACCTGAGCGCCAGAACCTGCTCGACTTTTTCTTCTTTGCTTCCCAGCTCCAAATCGCCTAAACTCGATTATAGAACTCAAATTCAATTTAGATCCCGATACCCAGCATATGTATTCAAGAGCCTAACTCAATACAACCCTAAAACTCCACGTAAAGATCTCAGAAACTCCTCAATTCATCCCAATTTAAGAACAACATTCAAATTCAAGAATACATGTCAAGAACATCAACTTTCAAACTCTTTTAGGACGAATTTCGCTGAACTAAACAAGTTTGGCACGTGGGTGAATGAACCCAACACTATTTGAGACTCACATACCTTGTAAGATGAATTCCTTGGCGAATCCACAACCAAAATTGATCGTTCTTAGTGAATCTTGCTTTTCCTCTTCTCCTTTCTCTTGCGTTCTTTCTCCAAAAACCCTAACTCTATTTCTCAAAAGTGTAAACTGAACTAACCCAGTTTTGACCCCAATTATTTTATTAAAAACGGATTTAATCAATAGGGCAGTGAAACGACTAAAATACCCCTTAAAAATCCGGATTGGACATTTTCTTAATTTAACAGCCCAACTTCCAAAGGGCATAACTTACTCATACAAACTCAGAATCGCGCAAACTCCGCAGCGTTGGAAAGATTATTCCACGAGCTTTCCAACCATGTCTGGAAGTACACCTAACTCATCCTGAGCTAGGAGTTATGGCTGTTTGAAGTTGACCAAAAACTCACTTTAACACCTTTACCAAATTTCCAGATTTTTAAATTCTTCCCAAAAATGACTATTTCCAGATTTGAAACTTCCTTCTAGTTCTTTCTAGTTGCGAGATGTTACAGCACTATTCGGATTAAATCAAAAAACCAAATCAAATCGAATCGAATTTCAATTTGAATTGATTTTTTTAAAGTTTTTTGGTTTGGTTTTGGATTAATAATTTACTTTGTTTGGTTTTTTGTTTAGTTTCAGATTAAGAAAAATTAAAACAAAAATATAAAGGAATTAAGTTGGAGTTAACCACTTTTATCTATTTTTAGTTATTGTCTTTCATTATGATTAAATTTATATTTTATACGACATCTATAATTGATATGCTTATAAGTATTGTATTTTAAATTTTACTTGTGATTTATATTAGAAAGTATATTCAAGAGATTCAATAATATTACTTCTCCTAGTATAGATATATTTTTTTTCAAACTGCAAATATAAAAATATTTTTATTATTTTAACTTATAAACAAATAGTTAAGAAAATATTTTTTAATCTTAACCACCCACGCTATAAAAATATTTAAAACGCGTAAAATTAGTCATCCAAACAAAGTGGGGGTAATTTGGGTAATTGAGATTCTTCTCGTCCTACTAGGGTTTTAGGTGTCAATATATAAACAATTTTTTCTTCACATTCATCTTCTTCATCTGTCTGCATTTCTTCTTCAGACCGTGAAAAGCAAAACCCTAGAAACTGGTGAGTTCAAATCTCTCTTCATCTGCACCCTTGTGATATGGTGCTTACTCGTTATTTTTTGGTGTGATATTGTGCTTACTTGTTATTTTTTGCAATTGATAGAACAATGACAACAGTTCCAGGGCAATTAGTGTGGGAAATCGTGAAGAAGAACAATGCATTTTTGGTAAAGGAGTTCGGTAATGGTTCCGCTGGCGTTGTGTTTAGCAAAGAGCCTAACAATCTTTGCAATCTTCACTCTTACAAGCACTCCGGTTAGTTCACTAAGAGTGTTTAGATCTGGATTTTGTTTTCGTTCGATCATACAACTTCAAGTTGTTCATCGTTCCTATTTTATGTTATGTGATCTATTTAAGCTTGCAAAATGTTTAACGTTATTCCATTATTGAGATTGTTTTAATCAAAAGTTCTAACTTTTAATATTTCAAATTCATTTAAGGTTTATTTGGGGAATTGTTTTCTTGAAAAATTAAGTGTTTTTTCTTAGTATTTGGTGAGTAATCAATCAAATATTATCACAATAGCTGTTGTTGGTTAGCGGTGTCAATGGGTTGGGGTGGTTGGGGGCATTGGGTTGTTGGTTTGCTGTGTCAATGGGTTGTGGCTAAGTTGTGTGGACTCTTCACTTTCGATGATACACTAATTCTGGCGAATCCGACACGCACCCCTCGACATTTTTGAAGAGTACGAGCAACATAGGGGTTGGGGTGGTCGGGGGCACTTGGTTGTAGGTTGGGGCGGTTGGGGGCATTGGAGATGTGGGAGGATGTGGAGAATATAACTTGGAATGTACTCATTTCAAAACTCTTTCTTAAGTACCTGCTTTCCAAACAAATTGACCAACCAGAAGTAAGAAATTTGAAAAATATTCTTCTCCCTACCAAACAAACCTGTAGTTACTCAAACTTTGAACTTTGATGTGACACCATCAATCTTATTTCCATTATAGCTAATATAATGCTCGAGTCAGTTCAACATATTCCGTGTTCATCCAAATGCAATAAAATGATCCAATAATAGCAAAATGTGTAACCCAACCAGTTTGGGGTTGAGCATAGTTGATTGATATATTGCTTTGAACCCCTAGTTGTAGGCACACTAAAATGTTAGTTGCTTTATATTCTCTAATATCTTTCAGGGAAAACTTTTAGAATGTTGGTTTACCATGCCTCAAGTTACCGTGTTATTGAGCTGTTGTAGTAATGACTATGTAGGCCTAGCAAACAAGAAAACTGTGACTATCCAGGCTGGAGGCAAAGATCAATCTGTGTTGCTTGCTACAACAAAGACCAAGAAACAGAACAAGCCTTCAACTTTGCTGAACAAATCTGCAATGAAGAAGGAGTTCCGCCGCATGGCCAAGGCAGTAACAAACCAGGTAGGCATTTACCTTATTTTACCATTGGACTGGAGCAAATATACTGTGCTCTTCGTGTGCTGATTTGGAAAATGAAATTGCTTAGGTTCTTTGTTAAATGACCTAAACACGTTATGATCTTATAGTGCCAGTTATACTGTGTGAAGAAATTGTTAGTAATCAGTAGTGTAATTTACTCCAGAGCTAGAGAGAATTGCTCTCTAACTCATTATGTTGGCTATTGTTTGTTTTCGTCCTCAATAGTTATAGTGCTCTTGATGTTTGTCCACATTAATGAATTCCTCACTGTTTTATATCTTTACACCTTTTTATGCATACTTTATGTTCTGCTTTTTGTATTGCCTTGTGATGTGTTCTGTTAAATGTATTGCCTGAACCTATTAGGCTTTTACTTAAGGAATTCTTCAATAATCAAAACCTCATGATGATCTTTCTCACGTTACTTTCTTCGTTCAATTATTGGTCTTCAGGTTGCAGACAACTATTACAGGCCAGATCTGAAGAAGGCAGCCCTTGCAAGGTTGAGTGCTGTGAACAGAAGCCTCAGGGTCACCAAGTCTGGCGTGAAGAAGAGGAACAGGCAGTCTTAGAGTTGCACTGAGTGTTGCATTGGCTTTGCAATGACATTGTTGTTCTCCTGTCATTAAGTACCAAAGTTTTGATTTTCAATTTTATATTTGAATTCTTTTTTCAAAAAGCTATTGGTAAGGGGCTTTGCCCCGTGCTTTTGGATGATAGACTTTATGATCATTTAGAAGGGATCTGTTTGATTTGTGGAAGGTGTGGTATTATATTGGACAGTCCAATTTGGACTCGGTTTATGAATGGTCACTTCCTTCTGCCTTTTATTGCTGCATTCCTTCTTAATGGATGATCTCTTCTGCCTTTTATTGCTGCATTCCTTCTTAATGGATGATCCTAATTGAATTGTTGCTGTAATGTAGGGGTTTATGTGGTTTGGAAATATGTAAAATACATTCCAGATTATGTTACCTTTCTCAAAAAAAAAAAATACATTCCAGATTGTAAATATCACGATTTTATGAGTGATATTTAGTGGAGTACATACAGCATTTAAGTTCTATGAAAATTTTGGAAAAACTCTTAAAATCTATTTTTTCATACTTGGGTACATAAGAAAGGTGTTGAATTGTATATAGATTGGATTGCAACTTGGGATATGAAACTGAAGGAGATAAGGTTCCCTATTTCAAGTTTGAAGATGAAATAGAAAACCAATTTAATAAACAAGCGTTTATTTAAACCAATCTCTAAATATTATTTGAAAATTGTGGTCGTAAATTGTCTGATTTCGGGTTTATACACCTGATTTCTGTTCATATTTTCATAGCTTTGTTGGTGTTGGCCAAAATTCCTATCCCGAACCTTAAGAACATATTTGGGGTGACACAGTTCCACTATTCGCACCCTTCACCTCACGAGCTAGTTTGAAATTGAAGTAAGGCAGTATCAGGAGCCAGCCACACCTACCTTGTTCCGAGCCAGAGTTGTATCAGCTTGCCACATGGCAGCTAGGGCATGACCAATTCAGGTGAGTGAGGTTGTGACAGCTAGTAAGGTGACTGAAACTCTCTACTTCACGAGCTAATGTGCTATGACATGTTGCTCTAAATGGTTGTTATCATGTTATGTGATAGACTATCTCAGGCAGCTAAAATTGGACTTTGCTTTGGGCCAAGGTCGATCTGCCTTGTAGTTTGAATGCATTCCTGCTGGCTGCTGCTACTGTAATTCGAGTATTGACTATTGCATACCCAGGCAAACAGACAACAGTGCCTAAAGGCCAATGAACTTGAATTCTGCTACTCAAAACAAGCACATTTTTCCTGAATAGATAACTATTTTTGTGTTTTCTTAAATCTGGTTAAGCACCACTTACTTGTCCTACAACTTTTGACACAGTTCACTCTTATGCATATCAAATTCCATAGCTACGTCATCATAAAATACATAAAGCAAATTCTTAGAGCTTTAGACGCCAGACCTGTGTTGTAGTTGCAGCAACAACATCAGTAATCAACATGATGACTAAAGCCTTTTACCCCTTAATCTGCTGAGATAAAACATAGTTCAAAGCAGTTGTCAAGAAAGAGAAAAATAGAAACTAGTATTGCTGAGAGCCAAAGTTATTTGGGGGATAGAAAGACCTGATATCCCTGGTTGTGTTGTAGGTGTCCATAACTATAGAATTAATGGCAACAACATGTGTAAATCAAATCCAACATGTGGCAATACTGAAATTGTATGATATTTATGCAGATACTATAGAATCAAAATAGAAAGAACTCATTTCTGGAAAGTTGAGAACAGAAATCTTTGACCCAAAGTAACAACCTCTAGTGGCATTGATTTGAGATAGAACATAAGTTCTCTTACTACAATCAATAATGCCAAACAGATTAATGAAGGGAAAACTAACGTGATATCTAGTTTTCTATTCCTATAGACCATATAGAGGACAGTGAACTTCCATTTAAGGCCTTAGAAAAGAAGTATGCTAGGAGCTAGTCATGGTGTAGAAAACAAAGGACTTGCAAGAATATCTTTATAGTCTTGAACCTTGAACTATGACTGGAACTTGTTCAATAAAAGTAGCCAATAACTTGACCACCCACATTTTGCCTCATTGCTTCTTCGTGATCCAGAACTCCATTTGGTGTTGTAATAACAACATAGCCCCACTGCACAAAAAAATAATAGAAATGAGTTCTCTAAGTTTTAAACAGGAAAGGGAGGAATAGTGGACCTAAGTTGGATGTTAAAGCATATATATTCAATGCATATTAAAAAAAACCATGCTTTGCATTGCTTCATCACATCAAGCAACAAAGCGCTAGAATTTAATAACACTGGCAAACAGGGAAACCAGGAGAACAGACACTAGAATAAAGACCCATATAGGTCCATAGGGATATTAGCATGTATATATACAATCAAAGGAATTGTAAGAACTACCAAAAGAATATAGGTGGCTTGTACTTTGGTCCAAAGCAATTTTTCAGGCATCTGTTCCAGGATAATATGCTGAGCGAAGTGGAAAACCAACAAAAAGGTCTAGGGCTTTAATTTTCAGAAATCTCAAAATGTAAAAAAGAAGCCAAATAGATTATAAAACGAACCATCATTCCCTTATAATTTTTCCAAATGGATCACAAATCTGTCCACATTGGTACATATAATCCTGAAAAGCAGTAGAATAAATTTAAACTGGGAAAAAGACCAGAAGCACGGAGGTTAGGGGAAGACATGTAAGTTATAGAAAGAAAACGGGTTCAAGAAGAGTTAGAATAAAGGGGTGATGGGGTCCAAATACAAATTCAGTCAGAAAAAAGATACAAGATCAAGAGGTTATAATGTTAGCATTGATGAACCATCCAAATTCAAACAGAGAAAAGATATGAATGTGAATACTTACAACAAAGTAAATCACAACAAAGACAGATCTCAAAACTAAGAACTCATTGAACAAGACGTCACTTAATGTTCCATGTTTCTATATCTGATAAAAAAATCATGTTGAATGAGAAAAAAAAGAATTAGAGGGAGTACACAAACCTGACGAGTTGGTAATGTCCGTGTCTTGTAGTTCTCCATACTTGCAGCCTTGATGTCTTGTCTGTAGGTGAGAGCACGACAATCGTTAATTCTTCCAAGTAACTGAACAGTTATCTTACCAACTCTATGAGGATCATGCACTTCAAAGTCTTTGATATAACCTGAAAAAACAGTTAAAATTTAAGCAGCATGCAGAGCTTTATAACTTCATCGACTGGTAAGCATGCTTTTTAATCACACATGAGAAGTACCTCATGGTCTAATACACAACAGCCAAAACATAGTTTCAGATCTTTCAAGGTTGAGTGCCAGTAAAAATCCACAAGCAGATTAATGCAACACTAACCAATTTATCCCCCACATAGTCAAAAAATCTAAACAGAAAAATTATTTGGAGGCTTAATAAACAGAAGAACTAGCAATCAGCTTTTAAATAATACCCCTCCTGTCCCATTCTACATAACACTGTTTACTATTTGGAGAATTAAAAAAAACTTCTTACATGATTACAAGTTTTTCTTCAAAGGCTTTGTATGTAAGTATAATTTTAAAATTTCGATATGTAAACTCAATTTAAAGATTCATAAATTGATATTCAATTCATTCTAAACACTACATACTTTAACCTCTGATTCAAATCCCAGTTCTTTTAAGAGTGGGGAAGAAGGAATAATATAAATAGAATTGACGCGAAATCATTCTGCAACGAATTACACCCTCATAGAAAGCTCAACAACATAAATTGAGGCATTGGATGACAAACGCATAATACATAAATAGACACTTAAAATTGGCCTCAGTTGGTAAGTAAGTACTCTAACTTCAAGAGTGCACATTTAACTCCTCATCCGACAACTAAACGCTACAACTTGTCCCCATTGTGTTTCGTGGACACCCGACGCTGATGTGACACATAAATTTTGGAAGGGTCTAGATGATCATTTTGTAGGCTAGACTGTTAGAGTGCTCAATTAACAGTGGAGACGAGTTCAGGTGTCTAGGCATGCACTCTCCAGTTGAGGCCAAGAGTGTTTGTTTATGTATTATGTTGACAACAGAAAAAGGTTTTATCAAACAAATACTTCTAAGTTCTAATTGTACAGACTGTTAATTAGCATGTAATTCTACAATAGGTAAAATTTCTTGAAGAAAGTCGGAATTCATCCAGAAAATTAGAGTGCTTTAAAAACAAACAGCTCTTCTTAATCATTTTACAATGTACTCCACCATTAGAAGCTTATACAACATAAATTTGTAAAATTTTCTCTAATTGAAACGGTATTAGGAGATGTGGTTCATAGTTACCTCGATATTTCATAATTTGCAGAAAATTAGCTATGACATTGGAGACAGGTTGGAGCTGAGTCGAAGCAAAGCCTCTCTTTTCAGCATTCACAATTGTACGCAATGCATCGTTTAATATTCGCCGGCCCATTTCCACCGGCGTTCTGATTCTTCTCCGGCACCAATAAACCACCTTTTCGGAAATTTAGAGACCCGAAGTTGTAACTGATGAGATGGTGTATTTTGTTTGGGCCGTCATGCAAATGGATATCACAGAGGAAACAAAGAGCCCATCTTAGAGTACCTTAAAATTCACTTGTTTCACACTTTGGAAAATCACCCCATATATTTAGGGAAAACTACATGAAACCAATTAATTAAATGGGAAAATTACGTAGCGAAGCAAACTTATACTACTTAATTATTTATCATAGCTAATGTTTGTTTATATTATCATTCGCAGCCATTTAATTTCGGTAATTACGTTTTTCAATTCTCCTTATTTGTATAACCGTGTATAGCATTCTTTTCCTTATATATAAATGGTTCTATTCTCTCTCTTCAATCACTTTCCCTTATTTTCTCCTTTATTCTCTCAATCAAAATTGATTTCAAATTTTGAAATTTTCTATCATTCCTTCTCAATCGTGATTCCTGATTTATAGGTAATTGTTTTATAGTTAAATTCTCTTTACATTTTATTTTTTCTGTGATTTCATCATTTTTCGATTTGTATTTATATATCATTGGATTTATTTATTTTTTCAGATTTTGAGATTTGTATATCTAAAGATGAAGATGGTGAAACATAATTTGTATAAAATTATTTGTATAAACTTTTGAAGTTTGGATTTACACTATATTGTATA